GCGGGTTTTACCGAGCAGCGCTGCAGACTGCGCGTGACAAGGCCCGCCATCACCCTGCCACCTCGGAAAAAGCGCAGCATGTTGACCATCCATCTCAACGGTGTTTAATGTAACCCGCCAACCGCAGGTCTTGATAGTATGTGAATCTTGGAATAGTTCGTGATACCCTGGGCTGCATAGAGAACTATAGACCCAGACACATCCCCAATGTCCCTCAGATAAACAGAATAAACTCAACTTATGCGCGCAACCCGGCTGATCAATGGCGGGCCTACGGAGTACCTACCTTACATAGTCCCGAAGAAAGCGCGCCTTTTGGGTCCCCTTTTGGGTCTCTTGGGGCGGACACTAACGGCCGGAACTGAGCTTCCCGGCATGGGCTCATCTCCTTTCCTCTCCAGACTCCAATCTCACCGTCAATCAATACCGCGTAAGCTCATCGTGGTCGTGATTGCAATTCTAGCGGTGTGGCTTTTTCCGCGAGGGAAACAAACTCATCGCGATTTTCCCCAACCTCCCTTCCAAGGTCCGAGACACAAGCACACAAGTTCGAAAAGCAGACATTGGTTATCTTTTCCATCTCTGCTAAGGTAGACCACAGACGCGGACGAACGAACGCACACACCCCTCCACCCCCGCGCACATCTCATCCCACCTCACCATACCCCTTACGGCCACGATCTCATCCGTATTGCAAGGGCAAAAGTCAAAAAAATCCAACCTACCTTCAACCGGATCTGTTCTCCTCCGAAGGAAAGGGGAAAAACGTTCCACGGTCCACCAGTCACCACCCACCAGCCAGTCACGCCCGCCATGGCCTCCGTCGCCGATCAAACACCGGCCTCCACCGCCGCCGCCGCCGGTCTGCAAGAAAAGGCCACCGCATCCGGCCCGCTCAAGACGCCCATCGCCCTCCCGCTCCCGGCCTCCTCCACCCCGGCCGTCCCGGCCCTCACCGCAGACCAACAGGCCAAATACGACGGCCTCCTCTCCCAAGCCCGCGCCTGGACAGAAGTCAAGTGCACCACCGCCGCCCACGTCGCCAAGTCGGGGCCCTTAACGGACTCGGAGCGCCAGTGGCTTACGCGCGAGTGCCTCCTCCGCTACCTCCGCGCCACCAAATGGTCCCCCAAGGACGCCGAGAAGCGTCTCCTCGAGACACTGGCCTGGCGCCGCGAGTACGGCGTCGAGGCCCTCACCGCCGACCACATCTCGCCCGAGAACGAGACGGGCAAGCAAATCATTCTCGGCTTCGATAAGGAGCGCCGCCCCTGCCACTACCTGAACCCGGGACGCCAAAACACCGACCCGAGCCCGCGCCAGGTCCAGCACCTCGTCTTCATGCTCGAGCGTGTCATCGACATCATGCCCGCCGGCCAGGAGAAGATTGCCCTTCTCATCAACTTCAAGACGTCAAAGAGCCGCGGCAACACGGCGCCCGGCCTCGGACTGGCTCGTGAGGTACTGCACATTCTCCAGACGCATTACCCCGAGCGTCTGGGTAAGGCCCTCATCATCAATGGTATGTATACGCTGTCTCATTCAACTTCATCTCAGCTAGTCCAAGCCACGGCCATGCTAACACTCCATGACAGTCCCCTGGATGGTCAACGGCTTCTTCAAGCTCATCACCCCCTTCATCGACCCCATGACCCGGGACAAGCTCAAGTTCAACGAGGACATGCGCCAGTACGTGCCCGAGGAGCAGCTGTGGACCGAATTCAGCGACGGCAAGCTCGAGTTCGAGTACGACCACTCCGTCTACTGGCCCGCTCTCAACGGCATGTGCAAGGAGAAGCACGAAGCCCGGACGGGCCGCTGGGTCGCCGGCGGAAAACAAATCGGCGAGTCGGAGGACTACCTCGGCGGTGCTGTTGAGAAGGGCGTCGGCGCGGAAGCTGCTGCTGAAGCAGCTCCGGTTCCGGCTGCGGCCGAGACACCTGCTGAGGTCAAGCCCACTGCCTAGAATTCTTGACTTGGTAAATGTTGAGCGGGAAGCTTAGAGGTTGATTTGAATCATTACACCTTCATAGACGGAGCAAAAGGCGCTCAAACTAATAGCAGGATAGAGGGGCAAAAGGTAGACTTTTGGTTGCTTCACAGAGGCAGTGAGACGGACGGTACGATTACAATTGTGCCTCCTTATGTAGATCTTTTCACATATTTATTTTTCCCTTCCGTTTCTTCCTTGTTTCGTTCGGGATATGACAGTTGAAGCTCCCACGAGGTGGTTGTCCCTGCGCGAGCTCTTATCGTTATCGCCGATAAGGCTGCAGACCAATCGCGCAACCCAAACTCCAAACCCACAGCTCCCGCCAACCCTGCAGCCTTCCCATCCCCAAACGTCACCCTTTCTCGGCGCAAGCGCAAACACCAAGCTGCTGCCACACACCGACTCTCAAGCCGTGAAACAGTTCCGACCATTCTTTCCCTCTATCATATAAATCACCTCCTATCGCAGCGCAAACACCGAATAGCACACTGGGGCTCTAGACACACATCACCACACACGCGACAATGGCGAACCTGCCGACGACGAAGAGCATCCCGGGCAAGGAGACGCCCGGCCTGCGATACCCCTCCAACGGCAAGACAATCTACCACCGGCCCCTGAACCGCACAAAGACGGCCGAGCTGAGCCAGTCCAGCTTCGCCTACCTTTTTAGCGAGATGGTCTCGTACGCCCAGCGCAACGTAAAGGACATTTCCGAGCTCGAACAACGGTAAAGCTCCCTCGTTCCTTTCCTGCCCTCCTCTCTCTCTTACCTTGCCCTGGCATCCACTAACTTTGACACTTCCAGACTAAACGTCCAAGGCCACTCAATAGGTCTCAAACTCCTCGACCTCCTCCTCTTCCGTGAACCCCCGCGCACCCAGACCCGGCCCCTCACAATCATCACCCTCCTTCACTTCATCAAACAGTCCTGCTGGCAGCACCTCTTTGGCCGACAAGCCGACCGCCTCGAGAAGTCAGCCGACCCGGCCAAGCCAGACGAGTACATGATCATCGACAACGAGCCCCTCGTCAACGCCTACATCTCCGTGCCGCGCGAAATGTCCCAGCTCAACTGCGCCGCCTACGTCGCGGGCATCGTCGAGGGGATTTGTGATGGAGCGGGTTTCCCCGCGAGGGTGAGCGCGCATAATATCGCAGCAAAGGACGAGCACGAGATGTGGCCTGGCAAGACGGTGTTTTTGGTAAAGTTCAGGCCTGAGGTGTTGGAGAGGGAGGGCTATCTTGGGAAGAGCTGAGCCGAGCTCCTTGGGATGAGGGGAGTCGTGGGACGAGGAGGTGATGGAGTATCTTGATTCACGGCGTGTACAGGAAGAGCATGGGCGGCGTTTGGGCGATGGAATTACTTTTCTGGTGCCTTGTGAATACTTGCTCGTGGGCCCTTGAAATTCGAGGTGGGATTGTAGGAAGGCTCAATGACAAGACAGTCATGAAGCCCAAAAAGACATTGATAGTATCATTCCACTGTCGATAAGGTCATAGATTTTTCGATCCATAAACTCCATTGCAGTTAGCAGTTGTTGTCTCTTGCCACGGGTTGAAGCTGCCTGGCACCCCAAGAAAAACCCACGATTCACGATGCTGGCCTAGACACGCCTGCGTCCCCAAAATCAATACCCGGGTATCCCATAACGCCTCCTGTCACCTCGTCCCAGAAAATGTCTCTCTTTGCAATCTCCATCCCTCTACCGCGGCAACCTCTTCCCACCACCACTCCCACCCGCAGCACTCCCCCCAGCCCCGGCCTGCCCCCTCTCCCACCCACCCGCAGGCGGCGGCCCCCGATTCATCAACCCAGACAGCCCCAAATCCTTCCACGCCGCCTCCCGCGACCGCTGCGTCGCCTTGGTAATCCCAAACGCCGCGTGCTGGTCCGGCACCACGTCGTCCTCGTCCTCCGGGTTGATCGGCTGGTGCTGCGGCGGCACGTAGACCTCGTCATCCGGCAGCTTCTCCTTGCAGAAATCCTCAAAGAGGTCGGCGTCGCGCGCGCGGTGCATGTGCACGTACGTGTGGCTGGCGTCCTTGTTCTGTCCGGGAACGCAGGTCGTCAGCACTTTGCGGTGGGTGATGCGTGTGTAAGGGGGGGGAGAGACGTACCAGACCCATGACTGCGTGTTTGATTGGTATTCTCAGCTTGTATTTTCGCGGCGCCAATGATCAAGGTTGAGTATGGTGGTGGCTTTAAAGTTTGTAAAGTAGATTGCAGGTCGTTTTGTGGTGTTGGGTGTTGGATCAATGTTGATGTTGATGATGGATCTCAAGCTCCCCACCATTCGGCAGATCCCGAGCAGGGGTCACCATGCACTGCGGCAGCTGTCTGCGAAAGGATCCACCTGGCCCTGCGTCACTGCACATCCATCAACGACTTCGCCAATACTTGACTACCAAAAACCCAGAATGACCCTCTCTACGACCATTCATATTGGTTCCAAATGGCATTGGTTTTCATTTATGATGATCTCACTTGCAAGGGACAGATGACGAGGCAAGAAGCCCTCTCAAAATAACACCATGATTGTCTTCTTGATGCGATGCTCTAATTTTTATAGTTAATTCATGCTACAGGTGTCTAGGTAGCTTTGGCGACTGAGTGCCAGGCACTTCGACCATGCATCGGGAGAAATACCATCTCGAGCCCATCAAATCATCAAAAGCCTTGTCTTCAACAGACTCGTCTCCGTCTCCGAACAAATTCTCCCTCAGTAGGCTCCTCTTCGACAGGCTCGCTATTCTCGGGGATTTCCTCGTCTTCAGGGCCCTCATCATCTCCGTCACCTTCGTTGTCCTCAACCTCGTCTTCGTCATCGTTACCATCTTCTTCATCATCCTCATCATCCTCATCAGAGTCCTCATCAGAGTCAGATTCTTCGTCATCATCAGAGTCTTCCTCGTCCTCGGGATCTTCATCCTGCGGCTCCTCCTCCTCGGGGACCTCATCACTTGGATCCTCTTCAAACTGTCTCAAGCGAAGGTCGCGACGATCCTAGTTGCCACGCGTGACCGAGACGTAGACTGTGTGGTTCTCGTTCCACCAGTAGCCACTTTTCCCATTGACAACGCACGTTGTTTGAATCGGGTTCATCATCCGTGCAGTTGTCAACGAATAGTCCACATTGTCAACTCCACCAGCTGAGCAGACGGTGGCCTTGCATGTACCATGAGTCTGGGTGAAGCAAGTTTTGTCGGTCGATACGGTGACTCCATCCTTTTGCCCGGATTGTATCTTTGCGAAAAGGGCTGGGCAGTCAAGGGGGTTTGGGGCAGTGATCTAGTTCTTTGTCAGCTCTGTGACATCGATACGATGTGTGTTCTTGTCGCTTTATCGCTGATTATGCAGTAGTAGATACAGGTACATGCGTGGAGATGTGACAGGAAGCATGATCCAGAAGAGATGGAACGAGCAGACAGGAGGGGAAAGAAACTTACATGATTGCATCCCCAATCATTTCCAACACCGGGAATCATCTTGGAGACGGCAGAGCCCACGTTGGTGGTTGTTTCAAGTTTCAGTGTCTCGAAGCTTGGGACATTGTGAGACCTGGGTTGAATCTCTTCATGATGCCGAGGTTTGACTTCCTCGTGGTGACGAGGCTTGACGTTAATGGGGCTGGCAATGCCAAGGGCAGCTAGTGTCAGAGTGACAATAGAGAGAGAGAACATCTCGGTCGCCTTGCTTTTGATGTTGCCGAGTGGCGTATTTCTGAGTGGAAGAAGTGACTTGAAAGGAATGCTGGCAGAATGTGTGTTGGTCCAAAAAAGTAGAGGGATGCTGTGGTGTCGTTGGCAGACGAAGGATAAAGAAGAGATGGAAGAGAGGATGGATGTCGGGTTGGGGAGGTTTATATGGGAGAAGACAGACACTCTGGTCCTTGGACTGCTAACAGCTTGGAGCTTCCACGAAAGGAGGAAGTTACCTTCTTCGATGGGAAGCTTGCCGACAGCAACTGCCATATCTACCCTGGAAGAGGATGAAGTCTCCGATCTCTCCTTCCCGTCGCCAGCGCCAAGGTCATCTGCGGAAGCTGCATCGTACTCCTCAACCTCCATATCCCTGTCCTTGTCCTTGGAACCTTCCCAATCTAGGTAGAAGTCGTCCCTCACGTCACACATACCCAACCAAGTCAGGCAACCGTTTGCTCTGCACGACATTAGCGGCAGGATTATCCTTTCCAAAAACAGGAGGATGGCAGGAACAGCTCAAGCTTTTGAGCAGCGACGTTTTTGATGTTGATCCACGACAGAGGGCTTGAGGTGGGAAGCACCTTTCATGACGCACAAGCGGCAGGTACACGGGGTTTCGGTTTCCTCTCGCCGGACCGATTCTGCGTCGTCGCGAGGTTACACCGATCTATTCCGTCTTCTATGATTGTACCACTCATTGAAAGATCGAGTCTTTGTTGCTCCTCCCTGCGTAAGTTGAAGGGGAACGACCGCGCGATCATGGCCACCCAAGAGTGACCGGGATGTCGTCACCGCCTTCCTCGAATCACAGCTGAGGAAGCTTGAAAGAAACCACGTTGATGTCTCGTGTCACTGTACTATGTGCGCCGTTGCAACTTGATGTCTCGGTTGCCAGCAAGTTCGGAGCCCGGTGTTGCGCATTTCCAGGTTCAAGGTCCGCGAGCTCCTACACCGACACCTCGGTCAGGGATTGGACACGTGGGGATGGTCTTCCAGAGCATCATTTTGCAAGCACATATTATCGGTAAAACCTGAGCTCCTGATTTAGGCCGACTTTGATCCAAGTATCTAACGCAGGGCTATCTGTCCTCAACTCGACCAGAGCACCCGGAGATTCAGGGGCATATAGCGGCATCAAAGAACCAGCATAGGATCACAGAGACTCATATGCCTCTCATACCTCTACATCTTGACCAATCGACCAGTCATTAGTGATATCATAGCTGCTAGTGACTGGAAAAGAAGTTCCTCGTGTGATCCATATACTAAAGAGAATGGGTGTAGATTGAGAGGTGGGTAACCCAGTGGGTTCGGCAATGATATGATCGGCCCAGACATGCGCCCCTCGAGATGTAAGAATCACTTTACGTAGAACCACCTACAGCTGGTCAGAGTAGTTCGCAGCTTGATCGTGACGAGTCGTCATTGCTATGAGACCTACATAAGCCCGCCACCTCAACGATTCCCTGCTTCCACCTGAGGCGATTTAAGAGGATTACGAGAACTTGTCCATGTTTACCAGAATTATAGGGGCAATAAACTGATCAATTTGGCCAATCTAGCTTACCAGACTCTTTCCAGGCATGCATGAAAGTCTGCCCAGCCCAAAAACATTTCATCCAAGTTGCTTCGTGCTCATTACCTGAGTCAACACTTTCCCGATATCCGCTTGTCTGCACACGGGGTTTGAGCAAGTTTATAGTTGATTTGACAATAGTGAAGACGTCCAGCTAGGGAGGGATATACACTGGCAGAACCTCAAGCAAGGTGCTATGGAAGTTATCAGAGTATCAATATGATTATTCGCGCTGAGAACTTAGATAAAACCGATAATCAGAATCAGATTAGTGGAAGTCTCTCATAGCCATGCTTCCCAATGCACTCAGAAAGTTTGTAAGATAGAAGGCCAAGGAAACACTCAAGCCGTCTGCTTTTTCATCCTTTGGAGCTTCACATTATGCCTCTCACGTCTGTGCCAAAGAGCCTGCGATGCAAACAATATACCGATGATCATCGTGACACTGAAAACAGTCAAAGACAAAATCTTCCATAAATCTATGCATGTTTCTGGATATGATCGGAGCGGGTTGAAGTCATTTTCTCCAGGCTGGAGTGGGTCGGTGACCGGCGCGGTGGGAATGAAGGGAGCGATCGAAGTGGTGGAAGTGGTGGGATCGGGGGTGGACATCTTTGAACAGTCGTCCTCAGGTAGATGATGGATATGTCAAAGCTGAAGCGAGCCAGGTTCAAAATCAACGATGCTACATGATGAGAGGCGCGGACGATACTAACTTGTTGTAGGTAATGGCAAGTCTGAGGTACAATATCACCTTGCGGCAATGTCTTCCCAGCGCCAGCACGGCCGTTCGTGAGATTTCCGAGCTTGTTTGTGTAATATGGTTGTATATTCATTCAAGACGTATCTTTCTGAAATGCAACTAGTCAGATCCATCACCAACGATACTACTCGGGGAGAGATGTGCATAATACCAAATATGAAGTCCGAAATGCAATAGCACCTGGCATCGAATTCCCAGCGCCGGCGCGATGTGTCTTGAACTTCCCGAGTTCGTGCTTAGGTGGTTTCTGATAGTATATTCGTCCGAATGGCAGTTGATGTATCTCCTCGTCCGAGTATTCCATCCGGTTGAGGTCATCTCTCACATATATATCATCCCATCACAACAAAGCATCTGCTGTCCACAGAACAGCGTCGCCCCCAGGCCAAGGGAAACACCACCACCCACAAAGGAAGCAAAATCACCTGTGCAGTCATCCTTTGACATCTCATTTACCCCCGGCGATTCTCCACTCACCCAGACTGTTCCTGTTCTTTACGCTTCTTCAGCGGACTCTTCCACTCTTTTCTCTTTGGCAAGCACGACGCGAGAAGATGTCCCTCGGTCAGTGAGGTGTTGACCTGTTCACCATCGCAAGGCACTCAATCTCCCCTGTTGACCAAAAATAAATCCCACCCGTCCTTTGATCACACGCCTTTCAGTCAACAGACTGTCTGCCACATCTTGATCCTCGACTTTAGCCTCGACCAAGTAGGGCTGCTCTCCTGCACCTCCCCTCTTCACAAACACTCACCTCCCACACAAAGCCATTGTTTACCTTGACCTCCCACATACATCCACACTTTTCCTTCAGCAGAGGTGAACTTTTCCTCACTCACCCCATCTCCCGACTTTTCCGTACAAACCAGACACCAAGACGACGCAAAATAAAATCCGGCAAGGTCGGGGGAGAAGAACATTGCTCAAGAAGGAGGCTGCATTCCTTCCCCCCTTTTCCCTCAGTACACCTCACCCAAGCAAGTATTTCGCATCCCACTCCCCCATCGATCCATCATCCGACGACTGGCACAACAATTAAAAAATCACTTCCATTGTGAGCGGTAAAAAGAGATCCCATTCATATTTTTTACTGCCCTCGCTCTTCTCCCAAACAAAAACATCACAAATATCACGTGCGATCGTGCCCAGTAGGTGATTTCTCCTTCTCACCACTCGCGTCCCCCCTCCATCTCGAAAATAGTAACGCTCACCAGCGTCTAGACGGAGCTCATTCTGCGACATCGTTTTGGCATTTCTGCTAGGTTGCTTCTTGTTGTTTGTCCAGCATCTTGCAGCCTACAGCTATACGCGCGATACCAGTGCAGTTATTCGACTTGACTCGACACAACACAACGATACTCATTGCTTACGATACCTGCTGCTGGCCGTATATCACTATACCCAAGCGAACAGGACGGCGTCATAGGCATCTACAAGAATCCTAGTGCCCCTTCCAAACATACCTTAAGTCCCTGTTGCGGGCATCCTCCAAAATGGCGCCCTCACCACTTCACTCCCTCCCCTCACCAACCACAACCTTCAAGCCCATCCTAGCAGCGATCACACAGCTGCCGATAGCAACCCCAACAACCCTCATCACGACAGTCGCAAAACTCATCCCCCGAACCGTGACGACCGTCTCCGTCTACATCACCCAGGTCCCCTCGGCCACCGCAGCACCAGACGCACCAAAGCTCAAGGACCCAGTCTACGGAAACCTCACCTGGACCTTCATCGTCGTCCCCTGCGTTCCCGTTATCGTCCTCATCTTCTTCATCTTCACCTGCTACCAGGAGCGCCGCCGCGCCATCAAAAACATGAAGAAGAACCCCGATATCGAGATGCAAACCTTTCACAGGTTCTGGTTCCCCTGGCGCGAGCTCGATAAGAACGAGGTCCCCAACGAGGTAAGTACAAGCAGAACCAACCCGTCTTCTTCTCACATCACCCTTCCCCCCGGTGCCCGAGATGGTGGTGATGTTGGTCCTGGCGATGCTGCTGCTGCTGCTTCTGCTGCTGCTTCAACTTCAGCTCCAGAAACCAGCGGCAGCACGTCCCAAGGCATCCTCATCCTCGGAGAACACCCCCGACGCAAGAAGCGTCGATGGGCAGCGTGGCACCCAAGTGACGGAACCCAGATTCCCCCCATAACCCTCTACGAGAACCCCCCTTCCTGGGGCCGACGACACCTCTGGTCCGAGGTCATGGCGTATCCATCCCTCCTGAACCCAGGCCTCATCCGTCGTCGCAGCAAAACCCCCACCAACACCAAGCCCGACCCCGCCGACGATACCTCCTCCTCTTCCTCCTACTCCTCCCCTCCGAGCCCGAACGCCTCTCCCCCGAGACCTACCCCCCCTCGAACCGCTCCCCCGAGAACCTCACCCCCTCGAACTCCCGGCGGTCTACCTGTAATCACCGAAACGGAATCCGACGATGGCGACATCGCCACTGCTCTGAGACGCCCCCGATTCGCAGAGCCCACGACTCGAATCATCGAACCCGAACGCGAACACGGTCCAGGACGAGATACTAACCCACACCCTTCCCAGATCTACGGAAGAACAGGCCACCGTCGCCACTGGGGCCAAGAAGACGACCATCCCCGTGAGGGCCAGAGCTCCAGCTCTGGCGAGAACCAGACAGACACGTCAGACGAAGGAGACACCAACAACGGCTCTGACAACGATGAAAACCACTCGGACGCAGACTCCATAACCACACAGAAGCCCCTCCGTCCCCCAACCGACATCCCCTCCTTCGGCCGCTTCAAGGACATCTCTTCCTCTACTGGCACCGGTACTCCAAAGAGCACCACCGCCACCGGAAGCAGCAGCGGCACAGGCACTTGGGCAGCAGGCCACATCCCCTCCTACTACGGCGCCTCTCCGACCTCAGCGCACAATTACGCCCATCAGCAGCAGCCATCTTCAAGCGCATCCACCTCAGCAACTCCAACAGCAGCAGCAGCAGCCGCCGGCGCCGCAGCCCTATCCCGCCGAGCCCATACCGCAGCATCTCGAGCCTCCGCCACGAACTCAGACGGCGTCTCCCCGCTCTCCAGCGCGCGATCCTCTACCGTCACCGTCACCGGCGACGCCCGCCGCCGAACAACAAACACCGTCTCCAGCATCGGATCCGAGCCGGGCTCCCCGACGGAGGGAGAATCCCGCTCCCCAACCCGCTTCGGCACCGTCAAGTGGCGTTCAGCTCTCGTCTTCGATTCTGACGAGGAAGAAGGCCAGAACAGCAGCAACAACAAGACGGGAAATAAGAACGCCAAGCCCTAGAACAGCGAGGCCTCTTCTTCATCTTCCGATGCTGCTGCTGCTGTAGACCTTAACGCTGTTACCGACGAGCCCGCAACCAAAACCAAGTCAAAGGCCAAGGGCAAAGGCAAGGCGAAAGCCCAACCCAGATCGCCCGGAGCCAAGACCGACAACATCACCGCCAAGGCCAAACCCAAATGCACCTGCAAAGGAAAAGGTAAAGGCAAAGCTGTAGCCTCATCCAGTGGCGGTGCATCTCCCGTCGTCAACGTCGTCGCTGAATCATCCACCTCCGCGTCCGCGTCTTCGTCATACTGCCCTCGGCACTCTCACCAAAGCCACGACCCCGCCGTCGTCGAGGCATCCCAGTCCACCTCCGCGGCACCGGACACCCGAGACCCGGCGCACAAGAACAAGAACAAGGCCCATCGCAGATCGATTACAGAGTGGCCCCGCGTCTGCTCCGGCTGCGGCCAGGTGGGATAGAGAAGAAGTATCTGCCTGCGACGCAAATCCCCCCTGTCCCATCGATTCCGTCTGGCTGTCAAGTGAACGAGAGCGAAACGGTACAGTCACAAGATCCAACTGATACTTTTCCGGAAGACGTGGGAGGGAGACAGATGGAAAGGGAAAAAGGGACGGCAATAGAGTGGGCGGCCGAGGTGTTTGCAAGAGGAGATGGAGAAGAAACCAACCCACGATGAACGGTGATGCCCATCCACAACGAACACACTTCCCCTCCCGAATCCAAGATCCATCCCACCAACAACACCACCATTCCCATCTCATCTGAAGAAAATCCCACCGCTATCGTTCGTACACCAAAAGCCCCGTACTCGCTTGGCGCCCCGCAGACCCGAATACCATGCCAAAGATGGAAGTCCATCCTTTTCAGTTCGCCATGGAGTGGGATCGACAAGTGAGATGGACGGACGGTTCAGTTCAAAACTCTCTTGAACCTTTTCTTCCGCACTGTTTGCACCTTTCTGCTTCTTCAGCCACAACTCATGACAAGGTGATATCCCCGTCCCTTCCCCCATCCATCACCTGTTTTCCTCTCTCTCCCCCCTTCGCTCTCTCTTGCAGACAACTCTTCTAACACGTTTGAGCCATCGCTCTAGTTGCCTTTCGTTCGCTTACTACACCATCCCATCCTAGCCGACATCTTGGATTTGAGATGGGTAAAACCCGCGGAACTTTCTTTGACTTTCTCTTCTTTCCTTTTTCTGAAATCTGCATGTGGTGCGAGAGATTGTGCGAGTGTAAGGATACTGTACGTCTAGGTACCAGGATAACAAGGAGTACCTCTTTGAACTTTGCTGGATCGGATCGGGATCCGGCACGCTTTGCAGCTTGTACTATTCGGTGATGGCCCTTCCAAGCATGAACGTGATTGTCGAGGTGGTCGGCCTGTGTGTCCTTGTCAGCTCGTCTTTCGGTCTGTAGGAAAGAAGGGTCTACCCCAACAAACGTGCGTCGTTTCATGGCAATCACTTTGGCCAAAACACGTAAAAAGAAGGGATGATCCATGTCCACCAGTTGGAAGAAGACTCGAAACGACGGGAGACACAGAGAGTGAAGATGAGAATACGTGTAACCAGAAAAATGCAGGATACCCGTCAGCCAGAGCGCTTCTCGACTGCGGGATCCCTGATGAAGTCTTTGATTGCTCTCGCCTGATACCCTAATGCGTATAGAGGCCGTCTAATAGAGAAGCCTAACAATAATAATCCCACTCCAATAATCCTTTTATACCACAAACCGCAGCTATGGCGAAACCGCATGCGTCTCTCCTTGACGCAGTAAGCGTGCCTCCAATACCCTTGTACAAAAAGTGCTGGTGCTGTTCTCCCCATTTGAAGAATCGAAAAGTAGGAAAAGCCCTGGTCTCTCCGTAAACGTAGACATCAAAGTGTATTGCTTCGTGTCTCGTAGCGCCGATGCCCTCGGACTTCTCACAGCCCGTTGGGTTATCGTGACCCCTTCTGTAGGATACTGAATCGCAAAGTGCCGCTGCTCGCTCGCTGATGGAATGTCCATGCATTGAACTCCAAAAAACGCCTGATCGTAATTATGGTGGCCCCTTCCCTTTGTTGATGACAAGGCTCGATGTAAAAAGAGACAGTAGAGGAATAGCCGCCCAAGGTGACCATCGGGCGACAGTAATAATGGTTCGTTGTATATGATACAAGCTGAAGGGAAAGCGGCTCGAGTGTGGTGGTAGAGCGTCTATGCGGCTATGTTCGGTGTGATAGTCGGCTGAATGGCCAGATTGACGTTTTGTAGTCCAGTGTCGAAGTGTAAATGTCGCTGAAAGACTTGTCTTCTTCACTTGTTCCCGTCAGGGGTGCCCCAGATGGGTGCGCCCAAAGGTTTGCTGACGCCAAAGCCGACACCAACACCGACGCCAATAACGAGGAGGCCAATGGCCACCTTCATGATGATGCGATTCTTCTTGCTCATGCGAGCCATGCAGGCGCAGGAGCCCCTATCACGCTTTGCGGCCTTCGCTTTGGCCTTCCAATCTTGCTTGCCCGGCCATATCGTTGGGCAGTCTTTTGTAGTTGAGATGCTCTTCATGGCATACGGATCGGAGGAGGATGTCGTGGTGATCATAGCCTCGATGTCGGTATCGAAGGGGTTCTCGTTGCGGTACGACCGCGGGGTAGAAAGGTTGCTGTCGCGGGGCATTTCCAGGCTCTTTTCGGGGGTTGAAGCAACAGGAGTAAGTGTGCCCGGGGTCGTGGCGATGGTGTCGGACAGCTTCGAGTACGCCGCCTTCTCGGGGAGAGCAATGCTGGCGACCGTGGTGTGAACGGCCACCTTTTCTTGGGGAACGGCCATTGTTGCGGTAGTGGGTTGGCAAGGCTAGCTTGCTAACGATGTGTGACGAAAGTGTCGTATCGAAAGATCAATGTTCAATTGCTGTGGATGTCTGTCCAGAGGGGAGCAGATGCAATTGCCCAAGACTGCTGCGAGCGGTGAGTTAGTCAACGGCATTGACGAGGTATCAAGAGTGAATCAGGGCAGAGGCTGGAGGAGAAGTGGGTGAAGTAGGATAGGAATTGAGATCAACGGGAACCAGACGGTGGTGAGAAGGATCGGGGTGACGTACATTGGAGGGAAGCTCACCCAAGAAGTGACCTAGTATGTAAGGAATGAAGAATGACAGGCGAAGCCGAATGCCTTGTAGACGAGCAGCAATGGCCTGATATCAACCCCCTCGAATGGTTCCAGCCAACAGGTGAGGAAGCGGAGCAGGTGGGCAGTCGGTGCAAGTCCCAAGCCAAATGTCTTTCCACTGACAGACGGTTTCGAAGCCGAAACCTGCGGAAGGGTCTGGTGATGTCAACCGGGGGGTGGTTGGCAGATCGAAGAGGTAGCGAGACACGGGGCGCGGAAAGGGAGAGTGAGGATCGGCGTTGAAATTGAGAGTGTGGGAGTGCGGTCGATAGAGGCGAGTTGACTTAAGGGAGGAGGAAGGGGAGTGCGGCGTAGATGAAGGGTCCGAGAAGTAGGTATGAGGAGCTAAGCTGGTGGCAGAAGTAGAGAAAGCTCGATCCAACGGGTGGTGGGAGGATCAGGATTTGGATTTTGAGGACGACAGATGGTAAACGGTAGACGACCGAGGACTCTTCAGAGAAGAGACGAGACGAGACGAGGATGGCGAATGGCGAGAGACGAGACGTTGAAACCAGAAACCGAAGGCCCGTTTAACAGCGCATTTGGGACGACCTTTGACTTGGCAGATGTTGCAAAGTTGAACCCTCGATCAAAGAGACGACACACGGCAGAAGAAGAGTAGGGCCTGAGAATGAGAGCGAACGTGCACGGGGAGGGAGGTGTCACGATGGTTTTATTGGGGATGGTATGTATGGCATTGCGTGTGTACTCTTGAGTCTTGGTCGTTTGGTTCTTTGGGTGTGGACTGTGGATTCTGGACCTGGATCAGCCAGAGACGCAGTGAGTAGGGGATAGAGAGCAGAGAGGCAGACTGGGGGGAGTGGACGTTACGACGACAGAGGTGTGTGTATACACATGCTCCGTACAGAAAGAGAGCGGGCAGGTGCAAAGCAGGGTATGTATCCACCTGTAAAGTAAGGTACGTACTCATTGGTTAGTGGCCGACGGGTGTGTGCGAGACAGCCCAAGAGACACAGAGCAAGAGCAGAGAGACTGAGAAAGAGCCACAGAGCCACGAGAGCGGCAAGCGCCAGAGAGAGAGACAAGAGTGAGAAAGAGCAAATTGGTGAGTGACAGACATGGGATGGACGAGCGAGACGAGATTGTGGATGTGCATCGCGCAGGGAACACCAAGATACGTATCGGTACGTATCCTGCACACTGACAGTACGTATCTTTCGAGGACCCTCTTTGGACCTGGGGGGGGGAGGCAAATGGAGCAAATGGAGCAATGGAACAAGCCGGGGTGAGCCATTGGGGTGTCAATGGGAGTGGAAAGAGTCGAATGGAGCCAAGATTGCGCCGGGCAGGGGCATCATGGGGACCCAGGCCCGGCTGCTATTTTCTCTTGCAGCAGCGTATTTTCCCTCGCCTTTTTTCCTTTGCACCACAGTCTGCAGTCTGCACTATCAATATCTGTACGACTATGAATAACTGTACGTTATTATGCCATGCCACTTTCTGCTGGGGGGGCTAAATTGACCGGGCCAGACAGGTCCACCAGCCAAACAAGGGCTGTCACTGTCAGTCTAGCTCTGACGCCAGCACCAGCACCAGCACCAAAAAACCTGCACCAACACCAGCATCCGGCATCATCACAGACTGGTTTGTTCTTCTTTCTCTCTTTCTCTTGTGGTTGTTGTTTCTGGTGCAGGGCCCAATGCTGGAGCTTGGGACACTTGGGGTTTAGGAGACAGACACATCACACTGACCTCGACACTGACACTGGACGGCGGCACCGACAGCGGCGACGAACTCGTCGAGAAGGAAATCGGAATCGCGCATTGATGCCGTCGAATGTCGAAGCGATGCGAGGTGAGGCGATGCGATGCGATGGAAAGTATCCGTTCGTGTACTCTTGCCCTATTCCTTTTTTGCCTTTTGTCTGCTTCTATCCTCCATTCTAGGTTTTCGAGCCTTGTCATGGGCCTCCCTTGACTTTGTCCTTACCTAAGGTTCCTCTGTAGCGATGTACCTCACATGTTTCTTACCTAATATACCGACTGCAAAGCCCGTAAATCGGACAAGATACGTACCCTCGACGGCTCAAGTCTCCACGAGGACGAGGACGAGGGGAAAAGAAAGGAATTTTGAACCAGCTGAACCGGGGTCACAAACAAACTCGCAGCCCCCGTGCCTGGCCCTTTGCTCCGTACACAGTAAAGTCTGTAGACTCTTTACTAGTGTACTCCGTAGTAGATTCAGAGACTGGCTTCATTGTTGCAACCTCTATCGTGCTACCTCGGGCCAGTCCAGACCACGAATCAGGTCTGCAACCAGATCAAGTCTTGCCCTCTTTCTGTCCTAAGCTGGCATGGCTGGTAGGGCTACTGGGGTTGCCGACCTGCAAGACGACTCACGAGACCAGCCGCACAGCAGAGAGACACACGCACACATGCGCCGTAGACGGGATGAAAGAAGGGAGCCAGCGGTTGACAGGTCTGACCAGTGCGACCATTGCACATGTGGGACGTCCGTGTGTGTCTCTGTTTCTGGCTGCCGCTCCGTGGCATCGTAGGCGTGGCCGTGGGAGTAAACAGAAACCAACTTGGACGATCTGGGCCAAATGTACTGCGTATGCCCCCCGCCATGCGCCGTAGCTAGGGCCGAAACAGGTTACTCTTAACCGTGTGCTTGCGGGGGAGCTACTTCCAAGGTTCTTCGTCTTCTTCTCCATTATTGCGGCGGCCTGTGCCTGTGTTCAATGTTGTATTGTGTCTGTGCCTGTCATCAATAACAAGCCTGGTGGCCTGTCAGAGGGGCGAAAAAAACGTTGTTAGTTGTTGGTGGAAGCAAACAAGCGGGTGAATTACTGTCCTTCTTCGTCCTCGGCAGATATGGAGTTGATTGGCGATGACTGAACCACCCGGAGTAATCGTCAAAAGGTTAAACCTATTTGCATCTGGCCATGGTAGCAGCAGCCAGCCGGGAGGGGACAAAACTGCAACGATCCAGAGGAGAGCAGGAGCAGGAAGCCAGCCACGCGACCATGGCGGTCAGCCATTGAGTTATCGATGGCCCGTGACGAGTCAAGCTTGCTACCTACGATCGACCTTTTTTCCCTCGAAGTTATTTGCTCGTGGCCCATGGACGCACGCGAAAGATGGTAGGAATAAGGTACCTGCGCATACCTACCTACTATGTAGAGAATAACAGGGCAGGCAGAGACGTCTTCCACCTGCCAGTGCCACCTGCCCGGCGTGCCACCGTGCCTCTTGCCTCGCACTTGGGGAAGAAGGTTGCAGTAGCGGGATAGCGGTGGGTTGGTTCGCGCTATGGAAAGCGCCCCCGGTCCTGGCTTCCCTTGACTGGCAAAAGTGGGGACTGGGTTCCATCTGCGCTGCCGTTTTTGGGACTGGCTTCTTTCCTTTTCACAAAAAAACACTCCACCAGCGGGAATCTCCATGTCATTCTTACTCGTTTGTTATTGGTTGATCTGGGCTCCGTGCTCCTGGGCCTGCCCTGGTCACCCTGGTGTCGAAGACGCTTGAAGCGGGATTCAGGTCCCACTTGTGCCGTTCACAGTTTAGTGCCCATCTGCACAAAGTACGTATCCCCTCACTCAATTCATCCTCCAATGCTCAGGTCCACCAACTTGGAAGGAAGTCTGTGAGTCTCTCGCTGCTCCTGCTGTTGATACTCTACTATGTAGGTAGTGTAGTCCTGCTGCTGCCATCCATGCGCATCTCGCAGCTGTATGTCTATCAGTCTCTCAATCTTTCGCAGCATTTCTTATCACTCATTGCCATGATTGCACAGTACTTTGCCTTGGTGCCATTTACCTGATGCCGCCCCTCTTCTTCACATGAATCCTCAAGTGGAGGTCATCATTCTCTGCGCGTGTTTGCGCTGTGTTTCCCCTCATTTCGCACACATCCATCCTTCAGGCACCCCGGACCAAGCTGAGTAGCAGCCAGTCAGTAACTGTAGGTCAACTCCAGGTTGTCCAAAGAGGCATTGCTGACTGTATGCTCTGACACAGACGTTCAACTTCACTCCTCTAGAAGTCTACGCAAGAAGTCTACAGCGTGATCCCCAGCCACTGCCGGCGCCGTCTTGTCCCGGAGACCTACCATAGACCAACTGCCAAGGGCACCCGTCAAGAGGCTTTCGAGTAACGCCACCGCGGACTGCGTACGCAAGTCTTAGCTGCTGGCCGGATACGCCCTGGCTCCCCTATCAACGACGTTCACTTTGTCGCACCACGAGGAGAAACCTCCAGCCGCCTCCAAGCCACCACTTGTGACGAGGCCGCAAACTTCACCGTCCTCGTCCTCGCCTTGTCATACCCGAATGCCCAGCAACAGACGGCACTCTTTGATCCGTAAAGAGGCTGGGTCAGTCACTAAAAGCCCGCGTATTCATCGTCCACCGTCGCTCCCCTTCGACGCTCAACCCGAGGGAACAAGGGAAACATCCTCAAGGCTCCAGGACCCCTCTTTCACTGCCTTCTCCCGCTTCTGGCATGCCCTGCTAGTCAACTGGGCTCACCTATCCCGTACCGTACACTACAGTACACGCACACCCCTCGCCCCGGCCGTATCAAGGAGCACCACTACGCCGTACACTGCAGCAATTCTCCCCTCTGGGCGAGAAAAGAGGACCATCCTGGCTCCCTCTCGCCTCTTCCTTGGATAAAGACGACCTCGACACCTGCAACTACCGGTAACAGGCTATAACAGCCCCCAGTTACCCAGCAAGCAAGTCAAGTCAGGATGCACATTCCGTCCCGGCGCATTGGGAGTTCCATCCTGATTCATCTTGCTGCCGCCGGACCTCTTTTGCTCATTCGTTGAGACGTACGCTCGGTTCCCAATTGGGTCTTTTGGGCCATCCGGCCGAGTGGCCGTCCCCCGTCTCTTCATCGGTCCCTCCATGGCGGCATTTTTTATCTCTCAACCTACCGGCCCTTCAACCCAAACACCCGGCCGTCCATCTTCCACGGCCGTGTTATGCCACCGGCCTTCATATTTATGCAGATATATGCAACCTCCCAGCGTGGTCCATGAAAGGGTCCATGCCGTGCATAGTAGCAGCTCCAGCATCAATAACTCGATATGCTAGGCTAGGCACCTTGTACTGCTCCTGCGGCCTGCCATGCAAGATCCAAGGCCTCTGGAGTTTGCTATCGCTCTCCCCGCAGCACAGGCACAGGTATCGGCCCAGAATGAAATTTCGAGCGACACGGCAGCCAATGCGTTCCCCAGTTTCCATCTTGCGCTGCCGCCGTGTCTCGAGAGAGAGTTCGTCGGGGACGCTCCCCTGTCGCTTGTTCCAGGATCAATATCCACATATTCCACCCATTTTATCTTTTCCCCCCCTTTCATTGAACGCGTCGCCGTTTCTCCTTGTTGCTCGTCACTTGTCACCCGTCAGTGACTACCTTGACAGGCTTTGTCGCATTGAAGACGTTCATCATGTTTGGCGAAACGACCCTGGCAATCGGGTCTCTTCATGAGGCAGACAGGCGTGACAGGATCCATACTTGACTTTGCCGCCCCCAGTCTATCCTGGCCGCTTGTCTCGCTTGCTGAGAAGTTACGGAGCGTCTCCTTCTCCCTGCGTCAGTATGGATCCAGGTCGTTGTTGTTCTAGCTTTTGCGTCAGAACAGACACCATCCATCCATCGCTTCTTTTTTTTTTCTCTTCTTTTTTTTTTGCGCTATGATGATGAGCGAGAGAGTGAGACAGTACGGTTATGGCCTGAGCCGTTGGATGCTGACCGACGACCGTTGCAGTGCTGCTGTCAATGTCGCATCTATTCTATCGTCTTTTTTGCTGAAATTACTTGGCTTGGATCCGTATCGCTTTTCGTTCTCGCTCTCGCAACCTCCACAGGTTGTTCGATTCCTACACAATCCGCACACACACCCGCGTATACATCCTTGCTAAAGACGCTCGGCGCTGGGCGGTGCTGGAACATCCTCTCCTCAGGTCTCACTTATTTTATCACTGCCTTCTGGATCATCAACGTCAACATCAGTCATCAACTTCAGCCTTCGTTGTCGTTATCGTCATGGCGGATCGACCCGCGTTTTCGCTTGACGAGCAATACGAAATATCCGCATCATAGTCCCATAGCCTCATCCACAGTCATATCTCGTTTTTCCTACGAGTACTCCTCCTTCTCTGTACTTTGTACGACTTGCGAGGCAGCAAGATGCCAAGAAGCAGCTAGGAGCCTTTCCGTGCCAAGGCACAATCAAGTCGTAAAGCTTGTCTACGGATACGGAACACAGTCTTGCGGCTTGCCAACGGTTGGCCCCAACTCCGACTGACCTGACCCATTGATGAGGTGGTTCTTCCCGTACCGCGTCCACTTTGCGCGTGGTGTCGTGTCGGCTGTCTGTCGGTCTATCAATTGCGACTATCGATGCAACCTCGTCCCTGAGAAGCAATAAACGATTGGTCGCGACATATCATCTTGATTGTCGCCTGGGGGCGGCGCCATCTGCCCTGTTGGCCACTGACCATAAGCAGCCGGCGGGCCTTGGTCTAGGCGTCCAGGAGCTGGGAGAAGGGGAGTTTGCACTTTGCAGCAGGGCACGCTTTCGACGACATGGTCGACACTAAACACCCCCTCCCCAGAGACATATCTCGTCGTCGCCGACAGTCCAGAACCACAGGCTCGCCGCTAATGCAAGGCACATCCAACCAGAGTCCAGTGAGCTCACACCTTTTGATCTTTCCAGAACGACGACTCCCAGGTTCCAACACAGAGAACCCCCAACCGAGAACATGGTCCGGCCTTTTGTCACCTGCGGCCTTGTGGCATTCTTGCAGCTCTGCGGATTTGCTCTCTTGTCGCCTCACCCGCCTGGCCACCACCCTTTCCTTTGGTGTGTCAAGTCGTGATGCCGAACGGAAGACCAAGAGATAGGCTTGCGTCTCTTGGGTTCTTTTCCGCTTCTTGGCTTTCGTGGCCAACACACCACAATCCTATTTTGCCCGAACCGCTACACACCTCCTTCACTCACTTGTCCCAAACGGATCGCATGCACAGCAGGCGAGTCGACTCAGTCGATTTGCAGAGAAAAGTAGGCGAACATTGACTTGACAGACACGCTACAGTTCTATCGTGAATCCCTCTGCTGTGCCTCAAAACGACGGCTGTCAAATATCCCGCACTCGCCCCCAGATCGCTTTTTGCCGAGAACAGAATACTGCGACTGGGACTACATTCCACCTGTGACAATCGTCACACGAGTGGCTCCTCCCTCCGTCCTCTCTATTTCATTTTTGATCGTTGGCTTCACGAGGTCCAACCGGGCAGAGGGGCAAAGTGAGCAGGCCTCAACACAAACGGGGACCTTGTGCCGCTAAGCGTGCGTCGGCGACTCATGCACACAATGTCGGGGTGCCATCGTGTCATCCCCATCGCAGTGACCGCCCTGGCTATTCCATCTGATCCAAGGAAGATGACACAAATATTGGAGGAACACATGCAGCTCTGCACGAAATTCCAGAAAGCAGCAACTTGCGCAGACTGGTGTGCGGTCTGACATCATGAGGGGGGAATGCTTCGTCTCCTAGGCAAGTGAGACCAAGAATGAACCGATGCAAGCTGCTCGTGCTAGACGATAGATCAATGTGCGAGCGTGACAAGCCCCCGGGTCGCAGGATGAGCTTGAATGGTCCCATAGGTGTTCACTACTTAGTACTGGAGAGGCAGGCAAGGACACTAGAGAAGAAGCCCAACGGGGAAATCCAAATACCACTGCCCACGGAATCCAACGCCGGCCACGATACCATTGGATGCCGATGTTCGTCTCTGGTCCTAGCTCCGGAGGCGGGTGAGCTAACGGCGCAGCAAGCATTTTGTAGTACTGTACTATGTAGGCGCGGCCGGTGGACGAATGGGAGTTTACCCCTCACTGTCCCATCTTTGCGAATGGCACTTGCTATGGTTCAGTTCAGTTTTGGGAAGATCCGGTGAGAGTCGTGAGGAATCAGAATCGAGACCTAGGCGGTCAGGGTTGTGAGGTGTTCGGAAATCCAGCCCTTTTGACAAGCATCATGAGGGTTTTCGCCTTAGCCCAGGTCGGAAATTCCGACAGCCAGCCAGTTTGCGATCACAGAAGAGGCGATCACAGATGAAGAACATGGAGTGGCAGAGATGTTTGTGACGGATCTGCTGTAGGTCTCTTGACCATTTCTTGTCTCACTCACGTACATTTCTGTTTGGGGTTTAGGAGGGGTTCCTTTTCTCTCTACGACCAACGATAAGAGAGGAATTCAATTCCTTTTCCGAGCCTTTTGCTTGCAGCTTGACTGGTTGGCTCAGGCTGTCCTTGCTGCTGCTGCTGCAGTAGCCAGAGTCAGAATGGGAATGGCAGATGGGCATGACCCCACCCCCACGTGCCGTGTGAAAGTCGTCTCCTCTTTCGTTTGAAGATCTGAGTTGAATGTTGATGAAGCCTGAAGAGCACCAGGCTAAGATGTCTGGTTTCCGAACTGCCGTTGATGGAAAACTTGGAGGGGTAAACGCTGGACCGGCTGATACTCGCCAACACCACTTTACTTGCGCACTTTCAAAACATGTGTTCTAGAATATAGATACCATACCTCGCGTTCGCGCCGCGCGCGTGTGCGTGTGCATGTGCGTGTGTGTGTGTGTGCGCGCGATACAGCGTCGCATTCTGGAACAGAGCTTGTGAGGGAGATATCACGTCCCCGTCCCTGTCTCTCTTACACCCATGGGCTATGGATCACGAAGGACGAACTTCAGATGGCGTCTTTTGTGCGTCTTTACGGATACGTCGAAGCGTTTTTGCCCTGGAAGGCGACTATCCTATCTCAAATCTGTGTCTGTATCTGTACCGCGGCGTAGGGCCCTCCACCCCCTGGTCAAGTTTGATAGAGATAGGCGAACCCTGCGGCTGGTCTGCATGTCGCGATATCGCAGGCATCCTCCGACTCGGGGAGGGGGGGGAGGGAGGATAGAGTTTCTCCTTCCCAAGGTGGTCAGATACGATTCCGTATTATCTCTATCTGAGGCTACTCTTTCATCGCTGCTAGTTATTTTCGTGCTTGTGATGGATGATTGTGTGGTTGCTTTATCGTGGGCTTTTTTGCGCCTTGCGATATGGGGGAGATGGTACGACGTGGGGAACGCCAGTATGGGAACAGGTTGAAAATCATGGCGAGTCAGACAGACGTCTTGACTCTTGCGGACTGACATTACCCGCACAGGCGGGCAGACTAGTAACTTGTAAAGTTGTTGGATCGTCATCGCTCCGGGTTAACATTAACCACATCACACAGCCAAAGCATCCTATGTATCAATCATTGGAGAGATGGATAGTGTTCACTAGCTGCTTGAGCCTAAGACGACCTACGAATGCAGAGTACTCTGTCAGAGGGAAGTGATGCTCGGCGGCAGGAAACCTCGTGGGCTTCGGTGTGCACCTGTCATCACCTAACTTCGAGTCCTTCGACGCCGGCGGAATTACCGACCGGGGAGAAAATGTTTTGACTTTTTTTCTTGGTGCGCTGTTGTTCGGCCGGGGAGATTAAAGGCGGAGGAATGGTTACTGCCGAGGGCCGGGCGGGTAACACGGGTATTTCTCGACCATGGTTTCGAGCGGGATCACTTCCGGGCCCGAGCAGAGCGGTGCAGAGTTGCAGACGGAGGCGCCGTTGAGCTTTGATGCGGTCTGTTTCTTCTTGGGAAGTACGAAGTTCGCTGGTAGAGTTTCATGGATGACTTATGGACTTGTGACTGTAAGTTCCTTTCGTCATTCCTTATCTTAGGAGACCGTGATGCTGGGGGTTGTGTCGAGGGGAGTTTATCGTCAAGGCTGATGAGGGTCTCGATGTTGAACCTGCGGAGCAAGGTGAGGAGAATCTGTATCTAGCAGATGAACATGAAGCATGGTCATTCTCAAGCTCTCTCCTGTGCCGGGGGCTCTGCCAGGCCCTTGACTGCGAAGAGCCGCAATCTTCATCCGCGAGAGATATTGCAGCTTCGTCTTTAGAGTTCTGAAGAACGACGCCGACGTCTTGCTGATGGCGCGCATGTTGATGCTGTCTTTCAGTAGCGTCGAGTCCCCCTTGAACTGAGAGTAGTGAAGAAGGAGGCGGTCTCGGGTGAAAGCAGTTGACTCTTCATGTCATTCATTTCTCACTTTTGGTCCGATAGCCAACTGTGAGCTACCATCTTCAATAAATATCACAAGAATGTAACACAAGGCTGCTATTGGAAAGATGCCTAAGAGTGAGGCCCTCTCTTTCAGATATCTTCAGTCTCGTCTTCAACCCCGATGGCCACCACTGCCTCTTCCGCGACCTCTCCATGGACCAAGCCGTGTCTTCGTGGTCACGGTTTGATCTCCTTGGCAAACTCAGGCCCGGCAATCCATGTAGTCTTCGGCGACAGTGTAATATGTTTTGAGTTTCGTGCCATTGTCGATCCAGACACCAGAATCTCGGGGCTCGATGCCAGGTGAACGAACAAGGTACAGCAACAGACGCAGGCTAAGAGAACCAGTGTAGAAATTGCCTAAAGTCCTGTCAACAACTTTGAGAACTCGAATTCCTCTGAACCTCTTGGGTCTTTTTTGTTAGGTATGAAAGCCTCTTCGAAGTTTCCGCATGGTAGCTGGCTTACACCTGAGTACATCTTCTTAAGCTACCCGAAACGAGGTCCGATCGTATGTAGACCTATAGTCTTGATAAGCATACCTGAACCCGTTTCCATGTGCTCGAAACTCGGGCCACTGAGGTATTAGGAGGATAGGTCGAGGATGGAGGTATCGTTTCGGCCTCCCGTAATTCTTCCTTTGTTGAAGGCTGGAGGAAAAGAGAATTGTGTAATCTCTAAATAGATGCAGTAATCTGGCAGTGTCCATCTTAAACTCCCTTAAACTCCGAATTCTATACGCATGACGAAGAGGAAAAGCTACAATCATGGCCTTCCGCCTTTACAGTTGATCTCGCTCAGCCCAATCACTGAATTTGGGACGGCGGATTATGTTGCCTTAGCGGGACGGCAGAGAGACATCTTTTAGACCAAGGTGAAAGCCGCCTGGACACGAAGATTCTAGCCTCAACGCTCTTCTAGATCTCAACTTCTTGTAGTCTCTGGCATAGCGTCCCAATCCGTCTACTTATTTGAGACTTGCCCCTTGAGAATCATCGGGAACCTCTCAGGACTTGGCTGTTAAGTCAACATAAGGCTGTCAAGGCTAGATATCGAACACATGGTATTTGTGTGATGGGTTGGCCACATACGATCAGTTGACCAAAAGTCTTTTGCTATGGGTTGGCATCACACAAACCACTCAACTCGGCTGTACATCAGGGCAATAAGTATAATCAGAAACAGGTCCTCGACGCGACTAGTAAAGAGCTCGTGGCGTACTCTTTCACCGACCCATGACGATCCCTCCTGATGCTTATACACATTCATAAGTATATTCGTTGATCAGTTTTCCTTTGACCACTTCACTCGGCAGGATCACGCAAATGTTACAAGTTCAAGTCCATCTCAGTGTTGATAAAGTACCAATCCAAAGCTGCAGGACCAGCAACATATTTTATGCGTCCAACGAGCCCCTAGGGCATAAATCTATCCGACACTTACACGGCCTCGTAGTCCAACACCGCAACTTGCCGCCCTCCCACCCTGACACAAAATCCCCCTGGATATCAATTTAAATGTGAAGTGTTGAATAGCCGGTTGCCAGTGTCCGTGCCTTCGATTCCAGGGAACTTGTTGTCCGACAACCGAAGTGCGACGAGACTGAGATCTCCTTTACAAGCAAGTGGCTCTAGGACATCCGAGATGGCCTTGGCCTGAACAACACCGGCCACAATGACGATGCGAATCTCCAGCTTCAACCTCCGAACACGGTAGACGAACCCCTTGATTGACTTGCCGCTGTTGACCACCAAATCAACCAAGAGCAGCGTGTTCACTCCCACAAGAGTCTCCTTCGTGAGCTCGGAGGCACGGTTGGCGTGGATGAAGATGGCATGGGGGAACACCTCGCTGACACCAAGGGCCATGGGTTCACCACCGCGCATGAGAGCAACGATGGCTGTTCGGCTCTCGTCGACAAGTCGATGACCATCGGTATTGTAGCCCTGAACATGGGGTATAGGATATGTCTCTAGGCCGAGCAGCTCCGTCAGAAACTCGGTGGCGAGGTACCACCCAACTTGCCTATGGGCCGCTCTGAGACTAGGACCGGCCACAGACGCGTCGCGTGTCGCAGTCATGAGAAGTTTGGCTGCACTCTTGTTCGTGGCGTGCAGAACCTGGAGGTTGGCGTAGCGGTATAGGAAAGATTCTACAAAAGCTTGGCTAGAGATGTCGACAATCGGTAAATGCTCTGGATCAAGGCGGGGTGAAGAATGAATCGGGACCAAAGCCTGTCTTGGACGGAAGTTCTTGTCGCCAGTAATAACCCTGGTCAACTCAGCGTCCATTGTCTTGCTTCTAGAACGCTCCTCGCCGACGACGACGATAGCTTGGTCGGCCCTCTTGAGCATGGGCAAGTCCATCGGACTGTCTCCGAAAGCCCAGACAAACACACCTTTACTTTGCAGATGAGAGACAACGACGGCCTTGGCCTCAGGAGTAACAACGTAATCATCGGAAAAGCGGCCCCCACCGATGATCTTAACGTCATCATCGAGGCCCTCTCTCTCCAATATCAGTTTCCAGATTCGACGAAGGCCACACGTAGCGATGACGATGCCAACGCCGCGATGGCACTTGACGGCGTGAATCAGGGCCATGAACTCCGGGTATAGCGAGACAGCAGCGGCGACTTCCTCGCATACTTCGTCAAAGGCGCTTTCGACGTACTCATACAAAGCCATGGCCCGGTGAAAGAAAGCCAGGGAGTAGTCGTTGTTTTCGCTGAATAGCCTCTTCAGGGGACATATGAGGTCGTCCCAGAGCCAATGCTTTCCAAAGTTCTCCGGACCATCCCATACACAGTGGGGATATCGCCTCTGCGAAGTTGCCTTGAGCCTCTCCCAGAACATCGAGCCCGTGTCCGCTGCGCACAGCGTTCGATCCGCGTCCAACACCAACACCGTATCCCACCGATCGCGGCCTGGGCCCGAAAAAGCAATCGATCAGTCTCGCTTCTTACACGACGAGGGTTCTCTTCGTCTTTTGTCTCAATATTGCGCAGCATGTGTTCAATGCCGTCAAAAGAATGAGGCCCGCCGAGATACAGCGGCATGAAATGCATGCCATTCAGACGAGAAAGACGGGATAGAGCGGCGATTTCGGAATTCTTCCATTGTGCGAGGTGATGAGGTTGTAGTTCAGGGCGCTTTCGAAGTTCATCGTAAGTTCGTTGATCCCATAGACTGATAGCGGGCATATCCAGGTAGAGGATGTGGGTGCAGACGCGCATGTCGGCGTCGGTCCACACAACGTCATGGGAGGGAGGTTTGTCGTTCCAGAATGAGTAATGGCCGGTGACAATTCCAATACGCCCAGTCGCGGTACATTCATCGGCAACACATTGAATGGCTTGCTGTCGTTTTCGGGTTTTCGCGTCGTTGTGAAGTCGCTTGAATGCTTCCAGACCGCCGTCGACGAGGTTCCCAATGACCTCGGACCCCTCATAGTACTGGAACCGATCTCCAAAACCGAAGTATGTCTTGAGACGGCACAAGACGTAAGACTTGCCACTACCAGGAAGGCCGTATAGGCCGACGATTGTAGGCTTCTTGATGGCAGAGGTAGTATTGGAATTGGAGGCAGGCATCTTGATAGCCGATGGAGAATGAGTTGTTCAGCTGATCTGAGATGAAGTGGCTATCCTTGGTCGGAATGAGATTCGTTCAACAGAGCAAGACCAAGCGGCTCCAGTTCGGCTTATGTATAAGGTTGGAGCCTTCTCCAGCTTCGTGATCTGAGAGGAAAAGGCTTCTTTGGGGCAGTCATGAGACAAATGGCGGAAAGGGCGATTGGTTTGTTGCAGGCAGGAGTGATTCCCAATGCTAGAGGCAAGAAGTGTTTGTCCGCATTATGGCAACTTGTTTGCCTACGTAGTGTCTTAGTCTGCCTAGAGTCCCAAAGACTTTCTTTCTCACTTGTGATGGTAGATTCTCGGCCGTCATTTGCTTGGTGTTGATACCGGTGTTTGCCTTGAAAAATCCACCACAGCACCTCGGGGTTTTGAAAGCGGCTTTTTGCAAGCTAAGTAATTCCTATGCTCTTGGACGTATAAGTAGCTATGAGAATATGTGATCAATCAGCAATGAGGCGTTTCCGTCTAAGGTATCCCAACAAACGGCAACAAAATCTCGTTTGTGACCGCTAGCCCTCCTTAAAGGCTAGCTGCTGAGGCGAAAGCGACATGCAATGTTTAAGGCAATCTCATATTTCCCTAGATTTATGTATTCCTCCTCTTTTTTCCGGCAAAAGAAAGTTGGCTCCTTGAGGTGGGAATACATAGTAGACAACAGAACAAGCTGGTGATTGAGGAGGAGCCCGTCGAACGTGCGCGTTGCCCCTGTTATTTGTTTTGAACAATTGGCTTTATTAGATTTGCCTCCTCAACTATTTCTTGATTTTAGATGAATTTACATTACATTAAATTTCCTTACATCGAGAGGGGTATCATGCTATCATACAAAGTGTTCTTCCCGTGCCTAAATTACCTATGCAATATCCCGTCCGTCCATTCATCTAAATGTGTTTCGTTCCCTCTGTGTCGAATCCAACGGTCGTGGCCTCATCCTTTTGCCTCAAGGCCGCACCATCATCGCCACGGCTCAGACTCCGCCCCCTTGGTTTCTCGACATCCTCGACATCCCGTTCGCTGCCCTCATCAAGTTGCTTCTCCTTCTCCCTCTGTGCCTCAGCAGCAACGGTAGCCGCCACAACCCCAGAAACCCCGCCAACAGCAGCCGCAGCCTCAGCCGCCTCGGCATCCTCCTTGGCCTTCTGCTTCGCCTGCTGCTCCTTCTTCACGCTCTTCCACTCCATACCACCAGCTCCGATGAACACGGAGCAAACCATGACCAGCGCAACCACGAACACAACCTTCAGCGCTCCGTTGTAAGCCTCCAACACAGGTCCTTTCACATTGTCCGGCAGATCTGTCAGCGATGTCGCGCCGGTAGTTTGCAAGTTGATTCCCTCGAGCCCAGGCAGCCCCTTGATCCTCTTCACAAGTTCGTTGTTCAGCACCGTCTGCCCAACCGAGATAAACACGGCGCCACCGAGCGTCTGCGAGAAGAACATGATACTCGCGCCCACAGGCACGTCTTTCAGCTTGAGCACCGTCTGTGCAGCAAGATTCGGCGCCTGGAACGTCATGCCCTGCCCAATACCGTAGATGACCTGGTACGCCGCCCACTTTGCCGTGCTCGTATCCACCTCAAGCGTCGTCATCAAGCCCGCGCCGACAGACATGATGCAGATACCGACGAGCATCACGGGGGTGTAGTACCCAATCTTAGTGATGACGCCTCCTGATACGGCTGCGAAGACGGTCATGGAGAGAACCATGGGGAGGGTGCGGACGCCGGACTCGACGGCTGTAAAGCCCTTGATGGCCTGGAGCCAGATGGGGAGGTAGTACGCCATCAACATCATCTGTCCGCCGAGGGAGAAGGCAGCCCAGGCGGCGAAGGCGATGGAGCGTTGACGGATAATGCGAGGTGGGACGGTCGCAGTGTTGGGGAGGAGGATCTGGATGGCGATGAAGGATAGGAGAAGGACGACGGCGAGGACCAGGAGGGCAATGATTCGCCCGTTGCTCCACTGCGATTTATCAGTGAATGTTTCTACTTGTAGGGCAATAGGCAATAAGGTGTAAGATAGGAATGAGAAGAAGGGAAAATCGTGGTACTCACAGCATACTCAACACCACCCCACTGCAACGCAAGAAGCAAGCAAACAACGCCAGGAATAAACACTGACGTTCCCGCAAAGTCCAACTGCTTCAACTTATCCCACAACGAAGACTCGGTAAGATTCTGCTCCGGCGGCCTCATCACAAACGCAATCACCACCAGCGCGACGCCCCCCAGTGGCAGGTTGATATAAAAGCACCACCGCCAGGTAACCTTTGTCGTGAACGCGCCGCCAAGTAGTGGCCCGATGACGGACGCAATACCAAACACGGCCCCGAATGCGCCCTGATACTTGGGGCGGCGGTGCAGCGGGACGGAGTGGACCATGACGACGATAGTGCCGGCAAAGATACCCGCGCCGCCGATGCCTGCGATGGCGCGGCCGACGATGAAGGCGGCGCTATCGGGAGCCGCGCCGCAGACGGCGGAGCCGACCTCGAAGAGTATGACAGAGCAGAGAAAGACGCGCTTGATGGGAAAGAAGGCGTAGAGCTTGCCGAAGAGGAGCTGGAAGGCGCAGGTTGTCAGGAGGTAAGCGCTTCCGTACCAGCCTATGTCGGTGACGGAGTGAAAGTCGTCTGTGATTTGGGGGATTGCTGTGGCGATGATGAGGCGATCCTGTTAGTGGTGTTAGTCTCGTGGGAAAGGGGATAAGGAGGATTCTGAGGGAGGTAATACCAATGCAACGAGGAACATGGACACCAAGATGGACAACATGATTAGGAAGAGTTTCACGCCCTTTGGGTACTGAATCGATCGCGTCGTCGAGGTATGCGTGAGAGCATGCTCTGCGGGTTGCTGTTCCTCTTCATCGTGAATTTTACTCGTCCGTGATGAGGCCGGTGGTTCGCTCGTTGGCGTCGTGGCGGGGACGGCGCCATTGTCGCGCTTTTTGAAGAACATGGCGATAGTTTCGATCTGTCGTTCGTTCGTAATCGTCCAACCCAGGAAACCCAAAGCTTATAAGCTTTCGTTCTTCTCTTTTTGTCTCCCAAAGTTGTCGGTCTCGGCTCGTAGTCGACACTCTTAATACAAGTTCAACTCAATGTCTCTCATTCAGACCTCTGTAGATCTCGAAAACCTTTTTGTTATGAACCAGGAGGAGTCGTAAGGAAGTCGTCGACGATGGAGAGATAAGTAGGCAATCAACACGTTCGAAGAGAAAAGAGTCATCCCAAGTACATATATCGCATTTCCCCTAAACAAGACAAAACAAGCCTATTCGAAACAAACAAAACGAATGACCCCCCGAAAAAGGACGTAAGAAACGTCCGGTCACGACGAAGAGACGACCTAACGCATGTCCGCATGACGAGGACGACTCACATCCAACACCCGTTCGGGGATTTCTATTCTCCTTTCTTTCTTACCTCCTTGCTCCCGCCAATGACAGCAAAGCACCAGACCAAAGAACCACCCTAAAAGAGCCTCCAATCTTGGCTCCCGCCCGCCCGCTCGTGTCTAGCCACGCGACCTAGGCACCAAAGACCCAAAGAACTTGAATGAGTCTAGGTCGGTCTGACTCTGAGCCAGGCTTCATTCCGAAATGTTTCCTGGAATGTGCCTGATTATGATGGCCTTCTTCGCGGCTCATGCTTACGTACCCACAATGACTTATCCACAAGTTCACCAAAGTCCATCCAACAAGAGAAATGCCGGGCGATTCTCGGATCTCAGTATTTCTCAATCGTGAGGGAAACCATACCCGCTTGTAGACGGATGTAAGCCAAGCGTATACGTGGGTAAGCAATCGGCATTTTCAATGCCGATTCACATACCTCAGTCTTCACTGGCGCAGTAAGTCAAGCCTCACCGTAACGCTTAAAACCAGCAGACTGTCCAATTAGTTAAACGCCACGCGCAGCTGCAATTGGAAACGAAGAAAATAGAAGGGTGCGAAAAGGAGTGACACGCATGAAAAGGGAGTCGTTAACTCATCACTCCATACCGGCTCATCAGGCCAGACGGGGCCGAGCGGGCTTTGGTAAGCTCCAGGTTGGTAAGCTCCAGGTGAGAGTCGTTAGCCCGGAACTTGGTATTGTGACTCTTGTGTGGCTCATCAGAACAAATAGAACCACGCAGGCGGACGGGCATTGAATCCGGTTCAAAACTAAACCGTTCAAAGAACCCCCAAGCCACAATAAAAACCTCGGGGATTTCTACACCAAAATGGGTAAAGTCCCAACCCAACCTCGGTCCCGAAGACAAGGGTCGGCTCACGGGTCCATCGTTCCCCGATGTGCCCGAGCCTCCGGTCGTTTGGTGCTCTTCACACACACGTTTCTACCAGACGGAATGAGGGGGAGTCGGGGTGAGTATTCCGCTCCGCTCCGTCTGCGGCCCAAAATACACAGCCCTCAGCCCTGAGTCCGCACTTGTCCTGTCCGTCTCCCGTTCCTTGATTTTTTTTGGGATGTTTCTATTGACTTCCCCGATGTTACCCACCTAAAAAAAGACAAATTATGACTCTTATGCTTCTTCTCGCACGGGCTCCTTTCCCGGGCCCGAACGAATCGGAGTCCTCCGCCTCGGGGGTTCACGTTTGAATAAGGCAGTTGGTTCACCAAAGATTCGTGTAAACTCGGGAACCAGAAGCCCATCGTTGAGGTCATACGGACGTGGCCGTCATTAATTCATGTCCATTTGCGGGTAATTCCCTTTTCCCCATCCGGGCAACATTGCAGTTTTGTTTCTTGGAAGGAAAGTGTTGGTTAGGTAAGACGGGCATTCGGCAGAATCAGTATGTCCAGTGGCAGTTTACGGATCAATGCCTCTGTCTTCCCATGAACGGTGATCATGTACACCCTGGCCTATAGTAGAATCGTCTCGCAAATCGCAACTGGGCCGGGGGGGCTTGGAAGATCATTCGCTGGGGGGTTGCGACCAGGGAGTCAATAGACTG